CCCAGTGCATGGATCTACTCAAATCCCAGTGCAGGATCCATCCTTCCCTCCACATCCCAGTGCATGGATCCACCCATATCACAGCGCAGGATCCACTCAAATCCCAGTGCAGGATCCATCCTTCCCTCCAAATCCCAGGACAGGATCGACCCAAATCCCAGTGCAGGATCCACTCAAATCCCACTTCATGGATCCACCCAAATCCCAGTGTATGGATCCAGCCAAATCCCAGTTCATGGATCCACTCAAATCCCAGTGCAGGATCCACTCAAATCCCAGTGCATGATCCATCCTTCCCTCCAAATCCCAGTGCATGGATCCAGCCATATCACAGTGCAGGATCCACTCACATCCCAGTGCAGGATCCACTCAAATCCCACTTCATGGATCCACCCAAATCCCAGTGTAGGATCCACTCAAATCCCAGTTCATGGATCCACTCAAATCCCAGTGCAGGATCCACTCAAATCCCAGTTCATGGATCTGCTCAAATCCCAGTGCAGGATCCATCCTTCCCTCCAAATCCCAGTGCATGGATCCACCCATATCACAGTGCAGGATCCACTCAAATCCCACTTCATGGATCCACCCAAATCCCAGTGTAGGATCCACCCTTCCCTCCACATCCCAGTGCAGGATCCACCCAAATCCCAGTTTATGGATCCAGCCAAATCCCAGTTCATGGATCCACTCAAATCCCAGTGCAGGATCCACTCAAATCCCAGTGCAGGATCCACTCAAATCCCAGTGCATGGATCCACCCAAATCCCAGTGCATGGATCCAGCCATATCACAGTGCAGGATCCACTCAAATCCCACTTCATGGATCCACCCAAATCCCAGTGTAGGATCCACCCTTCCCTTCACATCCCAGTGCAGGATCCACCCAAATCCCAGTTCATGGAACCACCCAAATCCCAGTGTATGGATCCAGCCAAATCCCACTGCATGATCCATCCTTCTCTCCACATCCCAGTTCAAGGATCCACCCAAATCCCAGTGCAGGATCCACCCGAATCCCAGTGCAGGATCCATATTTCTCTCCAAATCCCAGTGCAGGATCCACTCAAATCCCAGTTCATGGATCTACCCAAGTCCTAGTGCAGGATCCATCCTTCCCTCCACATCTCAGTGAATGGATCCACCCAAATCCCAGTGCAGGATCCACTCAAATCCCAGTTCATGGATCTGCCCACATCCCAGTGTATGGATCCAGCCAAATCCCACTGCATGATCCATCCTTCTCTCCACATCCCAGTTCATGGATCCGCCCAAATCCCAGTGTAGGATCCAGCCAAGTCCCAGTTCATGGATCCAGCCAAATCCCAGTGAAGGATCCATATTTCTCTCCAAATCCCAGTGCAGGATCCACTCAAATCCCTGTTCATGGATCTGCCCAAATCTCAGTGCAGGATCCATCCTTCCCTCCACATCTCAGTGAATGGATCCACCCAAATCCCAGTGCAGGATCTACTTGAATCCCAGTTCATGGATCCACTCAAATCCCACCACCCAAATCCCAATGCATGGATCCACTCACATCCCAGGGCAGTATCCACCCAAATCCCAGTGCATGGATCCATTCACATCCCAGGGCAGTATCCACCCAAATTCCAGTGCAGGATCCATCCTTTCCTCCACATCCTAGTGCAGGATCTGTCCAAATCCCAGTGCAGGATCCGTCCAACTCCCAGTGCAGGAT